GTAAATCCGTAAATCCGTAAATTTGTAAGCAAAACCTACCAGAGAACCCCTATCACACCCACACCTACCAGGCAGACAGAGATCCGCCAGCCGACTCGCGACACGCCGCTGAGAAGCCGGAGGCTGGCCTCTCCAATGGCAATGCTCGCGCAACGCTGTCTGCACGCGCTGTGCAGCTCTCCGGGGTCCGGGCGGCCCACACGGTGGGAGGGTCGACGACCGTACGACTGTAACGCTCTACGTATATCTCTTAACAATCACTATATTCGCTCTTGCGCTGCGCCTCTGCGAGTGCGATGATCAACCCCTCACGCGTGTGCATAATCCCCTCCATCTTGTTGTGCAGCCTTGACCTCTCCGGTCACGCCTCTGCGGCATCAGCACGCCTCGCCTCTGCCTCCATCGAAATCTGCAGCGCGTCGAGCTGCTCGCGCAGCTCAGCCTGCATCTTGGCCCGCATCTCGCCGATACGCCACTCACACTCAGCTCGAGCTGCGTGTTTTGCCTCGTCGGCCATCCGCTCGGCCGCTTTGATGTCGCGTTTAGCAGCCTGCTGCGCTCTCCTCAGGTTGTCGCAGTCGGAGCGCCTCAGCTCTTGTGCCGCAGCAAGCTCATCCCGCGCCGACGCGAGTGCCCTCTCTCTTCACAGCGCTCGCCGAGCGCTGCTCAGAAGCGAGCTCCTTGGTCTGCGACCGCAACTTCTCTTCCAACTCCTGCCGGAGCAGCATCTCAGCACTCGCACTACTCGCGGCTGCATGGATGTCCGAGACATTAGCGTGTTTTGCGCGTCTGGTTCTGACGAGAGTGCGGGAGAAGCTACCCTTGTGCTGCACAGAGATCACGCCAGCGGTAGCAGTGCTGCCTGGGGACACAACAACATTGCTCGTGGCCGAGCTGGCATAAGCCGCCCGCGCACCACAGCCTCTGCGGCTGCAGCAGCGCTTCGGATCGCGTCGAGCACCGCGCCTGTATCGTGCATGAGCGCACAGCCTCGAACGTACACCGCTAAGGTCGGCTATCCCGAGTTCGTTGAGCAGGCGCTCCAGCACAATGCTGAGCTGCGTCGGTGCCATGTGTCCGCAGTGAAACCACCCCCGCCTCAACCCGCTCAGGGACGGACGCATTTCCCCCCTTTCAAAGGCGGTTTCGAAGTTGATGAGACCTCGCCTCCCCCTCTCGAATGAAAGGCGTAAAAAGAGGCGCGGAACAGGCCGGAAGCGCCGCTTGGACGTGGGTCACACAACGGCAGCGCTCCAGACGCGCTCTGGTAGCTGCCAATGAAGCTGTAGCCCATCGCGCGCGAGCCGGACGGCCATTGCACCTCTACTGCAGTGCCCTCCTGCACCGAGAGCGACGCGTCAAACCTTTGCTGCCCATGACCGCCGGCGGCTCCGAGCTCGGGCGAGCGAGCCCTGGCTGAGCTGAGCCTCTGCGGTCGCAATGCAGCGCTGCGGTCGGTGCAGAGTGGCCGTGTGCGTACGGCGTCGTACGCGCACGGCCGCTCTGCCTCAGTGTCGTGCGGCTTAGGCCAACTGAGGTCGCTCTCCGACCTCGCTCGCCGAGCTCACAATCCGGCGCGAGCCGCATCGAGTGGAAGTTCGACTTCAGCTCCCGCGAGGGGATGCACTGCCTTGTCGAGTGCAAGCAGTTGGGCTCCGCCGGGAGCATGTGGTGCAACATGTTCTCTGGGCGCCAGCAGACGCGAGCGCGCGAGCGCATGTTGAAACCGGACGCTCCACAGCAACACTCAAGATACACTCGAAGAGGTGCACGTTTTCTTTTCGGGTTTCGTGGGTTCCTAGTGCACTTGGAAGCGACGAAACCGAAGCGGGTTGGCCCCGGGGTGGTTTCACTGCGCGACGTGTGCAAAACGGGGAAGAGGGGAACGGACGTCGCCGAAAGTGGCGCCCTGATCGTGCGCGGCGCCGGCATGCACACGTTATATTGGTCCCCTGAAGGCTGAAGTAATATTATGCTCACGCTACTTGAACTCCTGAGTCCTGTGAGCTGGCTTGGTGCACGTGGCCTCGCTCGCACACACGCGTGCGCAAATCTCTCTGATGAATCATCTCTATCTCGGTGCCCGACCGTCCTGGGTCCCTGCCCCCTAAACAGAATGCAGCGCTGTGCAGAAGTGCAGCACTTCTGCGCCCTCCTGCGTTTGATCAGTGTCTACTCTCGAGCCAGTCGCGTCTGCTCGCGCCGCCATGCTGCTGCTGCTGCTGCTGCTGCTGCTGCTCCGCGTCGTCGTCGCACGCGCAGAGGTGGGTGTACTCGGGCTTCTCCTCGGACTTTCTCCTCGAGAGCAGCGCGCGCAGGCCGGCGCGGCAGCCGGGCGCCGAGTCCCTGGTCCCCGAGAGGATGTGCACCCCGGCGACGTTGACGAGGAGGGCGACGACCTGGAGGGGGGTTTGGGGGGGGGTAGGGGGTTGGAGAAGGGTCTTGGGAGGGTGTCTCGGGAGTGTCGCGGGAGGGTTGGGGAAGGTGTGAGGGGAGGGCTGGGGAAGCGGGGGGGGGGGGGGGGGGGTTTCCGGGGTGGCCCTCTCTTCAAAGGGCCCGGGAGGCCCCGGGCCCCCCCCGCCCCCAAGGGGGGGGGGGGTGTTTGGCTTCCCCCCAAAAAAAGGAGCCCGGGGTCCGGGTCTCCCAGGCTTTGGACATGAACCTCCAGGCGGGGACCGGGCCAACGGGGAAAAAAACGTATTACACGGACGAGACCATCGTGGTGTTGAAGGTGTCTAGCGCCTGGAGGGGAGGGAGAGGCGAGGGGAGGGAGGGGGGGGGGGGGTGTTGGAGGAGGTGAGGAGCGGTGAGGAGCGGTGAGGAGCGGGGCTGCTGGCGCGTCGGCGGTGCAAAGTGCCGGGGCTGGGACGAGTGTCTATATGTAACTGTGTGCTGGTGCTTCTGTGTGTGTGGCCGTGCGATCGTCGTGTCTGGAGAAGTGCGACCGAGCGCGCCTTGTTGAGGGAGTTCATCTCGGCCACATCTCAGCTTTGTCTCGGCTACATCTCGGCTACATCTCGCCTTGTTGAGGTAGTTCATCTGCGTCGCGATGCAGCAGCCGACCCACAGGATGAAGAAGAGCGTCTCCCGCTTGCGCAGCTGGTCCGAGCCCCGCATTGTCAGCTTGGCGGCGATGCCTGCCTCGCGGAGCAGGGATGGGCGGGCGGCGGCAGGGCAGTGGTGAGGAGGGCTTGAAGGGGAGGGAGGGTGGCATGGCGGGTGCGGCACCGATCCCGCGCAGCGCCATCTCCCTATCTCTCCCCAAATCTCCCTATCTCTCACCGATCCCGCGCAGCGCCATCTCCCTATCTCTCCCCAAATCTCCCTATCTCTCACCGATCCCGCGCAGCGCCATCACACTCAGCGACCCGATCATTGAGCAGATGGCGACGTAGACGACGACGTGAGTCTGGCAGACGGGCGGGGCGGGGAGGGAGGTGAGGGAGGGGAGGCGACGAGGAGGGCGACGCGAGTCTGTGCGGCGGAGAGGTGGGATGAGGGGCGGGGGGGGGGGAGGGAGGAGGCGAGGCGGGCGGGTTTGTGGAGGGGAGGGGAGCGAAGGAGGCGGCGAGGCGGCGTAGAGAGGGCGGCGGCGGCGGCGGCGGCGGCGGCGGAGGAGACGGCGGCTGGCGGGGGGAGGGGTGGTTGCGAGCGACTCGCCTTTCCGTACTTAGGCGCCGCTCCATACACGAGGGCGAGGGTGAAGGAGAGGACAAAGCAGACATACGCGCGGAAGACGGGCTGCATCGCCATCGACCAAACCTCCTCGACGCTCGTCACCGGCGCCTCCTCCGGCGCGAACCGCACCTGCAGGAAGGCTCCAGGACAGGTCCAGGACAGGTCTAGGAAAGGGCGCCTCCTCCGGCGCGAACCGCGCCAGCACGACCGTGCCGACGGTGCACAGCAGGATCCCTGCAATACCTGAGGAGAGGTCGGCGAGGTCCCGGGGGGGAGAGGAGCTCGCGCACTCCTCAGCTGAGCCGGCAGGGGCCGGCGCGGCACTCGTGGGGCAAGCCCCGTGGGGCTCTCGCCACGGACCCTCCCCCTCCCTCTGGCTCGGACGGAGAGACACACACACGCTCCGGGGGAGCGCGGCGCGCACCGCAGATGTGCATGTCTTCGCCGAGGAAGAAGCGCGCAAAGACGGCGGAGGCGGCGATGGTGGCAGCGCCGAGGGGCGTCACCAGAATAGCGGGCGCGTACGCGTACGCGATGAAGTTGGCCGACTCGCCGCCGATCATCGTCAGCATGCCGAGCCACCAGACGGGCTGCCGCAGGTACGAAAAGCCACCCGCCGACGCAGAGCTGCCGCCCTTCTCGACCGACATGAGCAGCCCCTTCTTCTTGATGATGAAGGAGGCGCCAATGAAGAGGCTGCGGGCGCGCGGGAGGGCTACATTGAGTGGATCGTTGTGCGGGCGCAGCGACGGGCGCAAGGGCGGGCCGCTTGCGCCTCGACGACAGAGCGAGAGCGACGCCGCGAGCATTGTCCGCGCTGCCAGCTAGCCACTCGATCTCCGCCCTCATCGACAGATGTGCGGGTGGTGGCGGTGGTATCATCGCAGCCAGAGGTAAGGGAGGGTGCATCAGACGCGCGCTCTCTGTGGCTCGGGAAGAGATTTGAGCCATCCATGGTGGCAGCTGCGGCAGTCCACCTCGCGCTGCACACACGCAACCGCTCCTTGTGGAGCACGCCCCCCCCCCCCCCTTTTGACGGCACGCATCGCATCTTCTTAATGATCGCACCTATTTTCCTAGCCGCCGACGTTGGTCGCGCTGGACGGCAGCGCGTCCCCAGCCAGTCTCGCCGTCGCTCTTCTCGCCGTCGCTCGCCTCGCCGCTGGTATTAGGGGCCGCGCTGCCGGCGCCGAGCGTCACCTGCCTCCACGTCTCTTCCTCTAAGGAGAGGAGAGGCTCGGCGTCCGGGTAGCCGTCGTACTCGACCGCATCCACACGAGCCGGCCGCCCGAACCTACCTCCCGCCACGTGATGGTGGCCGGCCACCACCGCTGCTCGCCTAGGATCTCGACGTGCGTGCCTATCTCGATGACAGCGTGCCCGGCCAGCCTCGCCGTCGCGCAGCCGCTCCGCCGCGCCTCCTGCGGCTCCGCGGGCTGCCGCAGCACGTAGTGTCGGGTGGTGGCCTCCTCCTTCCGAAAAAAGAGAGATGCGCGGTCTCCTCTGCAAGGGGCCCCTCCAATCTCCTGCCCCACCGCTTGGTAGCAGGTCGCATCGACGGGTGGCCTTGCCTCCCACATCGATGCGGGCGTAGGGTTGAGTTGAGTAGTGCGTCATCTTGAGGAACGCTAGACTCGACTCCCTCTCGGAGATCGACCCCAGCCGTGCTCTGGTGCGTCGCTTGGGACGCCTCTGCCGCCGAGATGTCGAGGCCGGGGCGCACTCTTCGACTTGGGCTATTATCTGCCCTCGGGAGGGCGGCGGCGGCGGTGTAGGGGCGGCGGCGCGAGCTCCCGGTGGCAAATGCTCGCCTCACAGTCCAAGATGGCGGCTCGCGCCCCCGGCCGTGCTCTGGCGTGCCTCTCTAGTCCCGCCTGCCACCCAGATACCGAGGGCGGCGCGCACTCTTCGACTTGGGCTATTATCTGGCCTCGGGAGGGCGGCGGCGGCGGTGTAGCTGTAGGGGCGGCGGCGAGCTCCCGGTGGCAAATGCTCGCCTCACAGTCCAAGATGGCGGCTCACACGCCCAACCATGCTCTGGTGCGTCGATTGGGTCGCGTCTGCTGCCCGTGTCTCTGTCTTATCGGCACGACGACAACAAGCTACCCCTAACCCTAACCCTAACCCTAACCCTCACCCTAACCCTAACCCGCTAACCCTAACCCCAAGAACTCGGAGCATTCACCGAGAGCTCGCGTCAACGGACCGCTGGTTCCTCCATTCCGACCCGAAGCGGCCCGTTCTTAGGAGCTGCACAACGGCTTGAACTCTCTGACCCGAACCCTAACCCTAACCCTAACCCTAACCCATACCCTCGGCTGTGGGTCAGGCTGTGTGCTGTATAAGGCGCGCGAGGCTGGGTGCTTTGCTACCTTGCTTGTGTCTCCCATGGCCGGGACGGTTGGTTGGGTGGTGGGGGTGGGTCGGTCGGTGGGGGTGGGTTTCCTCGCCTCCATCAGCCGGGCCGTGAGGTGTGGGTGGGTGGGGATGGGGGTGGGTGGGTGGTTCCAAGCCTCAGCCGGGCCGTGAGGTGGGTGGGGTGGGTGGGTGGTTCCAAGCCTCAGCCGGGCCGTGAGGTGGGTGGGTGGGTGGGTGGCTCAAGAAGCTCGTGCACGTGAACGGAGGTGCAGAGGCACGTGGTGCGAGAAAAAACGAAACGCTGGCCTCCTCCTTCCGAAAAAAGAGAAATGCGAAATTTGCAATCTCGATCGGCCAAAAGCGCATGTCTTGAAGGTCCGATACTGAAAGCCCATATAGGCACCTTACACACACACACCCGCAGTATCGCACCTCTTGAGCGACACTACCTTTCCGCAGCTGGGGATTCTCCGGGTACCCCTCTTTGTACCCGTGCTGGCCGGATTCTTCCTCCTCCGAACAACTCAAGTTCGATCGGCCCCAGTGTCGAACTGGCAGCCACTATCTCACCGGAGGTACCATGTCCGAGTAGGCCACCGGCCAAAAGCGCATGTCTTGAAGGTCCGGATACTTGGAAGCCCATATAGGCACCTTACAGTGGTGGTTTGTGCGAAGAGAGAAAGGAGCGCAAGGTGTGTGCTGTGTGGTCCACGCCCTGCGAGCGGGGCGGGGTCTGCCCGTCGGGTTGTCGCCAATCTCCCCAGGAGATGTCTCGGAGCGGCGCGCCAGGCAGGGTGGGCGACGGCTAGCACGTGTGTGTGTCCGAGTGTGTGTGTGTGTGTGTGTGTGTGTGTGTGTGTGTGTGTGTGTGTGTGTGTGTGTGTGTGTGTGTGTGTGTGTGTGTGCGTGTGTGTGTTTGTGTCACACCTCCCTCTCTCAAAAGGATTCGACTTTGCTCGTACCTTATAAGGAACCACCCCAACTTTCGGGACATCAGCATCACCACATCAGTCAGTCAGTAATAGGAATTTGGCCTGCATACACCTTTCCGGAAACCAAAAAGGAAACGAGAGGGTCCCCAGCACTTTTCGTTTCCGGAATTCAGGGAAACCCAGGGTGCAGGGAAACCAGAGGGTGTTTGGAGCTCCATTCTGACAACTCTCGAGTTTCCCCTGAGGCCTGGGTCTGAGAGCTAGTCTGGGGCAAAATCTGAGGCGAAACCGAGAAACCCGGCAAAATACCCCGGTATTTTGCCGATTTGGCTTGATTTGGCTGATTTGGGCCCAAACCAGCTGATTTCCACGGAGTTTCCTCGGGAAACTAGAGAGGAAACGAGAGAGGGTGTTGTAGAGAAACACGGAAAGGAAACGAGACGGGGGGTGAGCGAGGAAACATGTATGCAGCCTAAAAGAAATCATACACCCGCTAATACCCGTCCTAAGCTCTGGGGGGAGGCGGGGGCCCCCGGAGGCACCGTGCGCCGTGCAGCAGTGCGGAAACGGGGCCCCAGCGCTCATACTCGCTCATACTACCAACTTCCCGATCTAACCCGGTCTAACAGAGGGCAGTATCTTGGAACGAGAATCCTCCGAACGGGGGAAAGCGTAAACCCACACAGATAGACCCTCCAATCATGAGAAAACTCTAACCTGATCGGTCGTACTGACCGCCGACTGATCACTCCAAAAATCAGCAGACAGGCCAACGTCTGCACGCGGCCGGCCGGGCGAGAGGCTTGACACGATGCGACCCTGCGACCCTGACGCTGCTGCTCTACCTATCAGACATGCACTGCTGACTGCTGCCACAATGTGCGACCGGTGCTGGCCCACTTGGCGGCCTTCCCGGTCAGTGGTGAGGCGCAGTTCAGCGCCGAGGGCGGAGTTCTCGAGGTTCTCGAAATGGATATCTAGATATCCTTTGGCCGCGTTGGGTAGCGACGGAGGCTGTGAAGTCGCGGCATCGAGTTCAACCTCAGCGCACGCACGCACCGTGCTGGGGAGGAGTTGGCCTGCGAGCGGCGAGGGCTCCCGAGCGCGCGGCGCCCCGTTCTGGCCATTTCCCTTTACCACCACAAAATCGCCTCCATTTTGCGCGCCTCCGGTGGCAGGTCTAGCCGGGCCCGATTGATGATACTTTTGATGGTTGCGCGCCGGATCTCGACTCCACCGTGCTACGGTGCGTTCCAAAGCAAATCTTGTGGCAGAGGGGCCAGATTGGCCGATTTATAACGACGAGACAGCGTCTGAAGGCTATTTTGTGGCGACACCGATACGCGGTTGAGGGCCCACGGTTGTGGCTAGTGGAGGGTGCTGTACAATCCGAGGGCGTTCCCGTGGCCTCACGGGCCCGGTCGACGATCGTGGCCAGAAAAATCAAAAAGTATCCGTTGGGGCGAGAGTTTCAACTGTGTAGCTCGATTTTGACCAAGAACTACACAGAACGGCCCCAAATCGGCCCGGAACCGACCCGTGGGCCCATCTGCCGCACCCAGCTCCGCCGGGAGGGGCGCGCGCCGTTCCCCGCGGCTCGGGCGGGCCACGCAGACGCGGCGGGAGAGCTTCCCGTGCCCTGTGAGTGCCGCCACACCGCCTCAAATAGGTCCCAAACTGGGGTTTGCCTCAGGTGCGCGAGAGTGGCAGCAGAGGCAGGAACGACGTGCTCTTGCTGCACCTCGCAGCTGCACCGAGTGTGCTCGCAGTGTATGCTACGGCCGCCGCCTACGGCATTGCTCTCGTACAGCTAGGGCCGAGCGTTTTTGCGATCTCTGGGTCAGTGGGGGCCGAGCCGCCTCGGGGTGGCGGGCGGGCGGGCGTTGTGAAAAACAGAAAACAGAAAACGGAGGGGGGCCAGGGCCCCCACACTACGATTAGACACACGCACCTGGCTCCGGCGACAAGGGGCGAGAATCGCAGCATGCAGTTCAGCGGCGAGAGGGGGGGGGGGGGGAGCCGAGGGGGCGACGTCCCGACACGGCAGCTTGGAGCTGACCCCAGGAGAGAGAGAACAGCGATGGCGCCCCCATATGACCGTAGACAGAAATGACGAGCTGACAGCGATGCAGCGGCAGCGAAGGCGGCGAGGATAGGGTGCCCACAGGACCCAAAAGAAAATAGCTTTCCGACTCAAAAAGGGACGCACGAGGCAAATCTGATGTTGGCCAGTTCCAATAGGAGCGAGGCCTCTTCCGTTGGGGGACCGAGTACATAGGAAACGAGGGTTTCCCATTGTGTCCCCTTCGCGTGCGAGCGTGACACTGCACTTGGCGCCGAGCGCCCGCGGCTCAGACCTTGTGCAAGCCACCCCTCGGTGGAGGCACCGGTCCGGACCGATGGCGCTCGGTGTGGAGCAAGCAAGACCCCCCCCCCCCCCCTCGGCGCGCGCTCGCCATTCCAACGGCCGCCAGGAGCACCAAGAGGACTCCTCATGGCTGCCTCCAAGTGGGCTTCGACCGGCCTCGGCTGGGGGGGCGGGTTGTCCCGGCTGCGGACGCGTTCTGCAGCCCCCTGGGATGGGGACAGCACCC